GGGGGGGGGGGGGGGGTAGGGATTACCTCAGTCTCAATGATAGGATGACTGAATATGGAGTCTTCTTGACCCCCCGGGGTAGCAGGAGACGGCTCAGAGGCGGACTGAGGAAGAAGACCTGAAATATTTTTAGCCTTAAATAATAAGGATTTAAATAACTGAGGCTTGAACAGACCCACCATAGCCGGCTGCTCAGGGGAAATGCCCTCGTCTTCTGACATTTCCCCCTCCATGGGGTCCACCTCAAATAGGGGCTCAGAATAGTGCAGTGACCCCCTATCGGAAACCTCTTCTTCCCCGAAGGACTGAAAGTCCCCTTCCTCCTCCACCAGGGCCTCCCCACCCTCCAGGCATGGAACGTCCAATTGGAGAGGTACCTGTCCCTGCTGTGATGCTGGACCGGCGATAGGCCTGGTAGACACGGATTCAAATCCAGGCGCCATTCCTTGAGACTCCGACCTTGACAATTGCTGCATGCCTTCAGCGATCCCTTGACGGATGGCGAGTTGCATCCACTCCTTGATACTGTCAGGGATAATAGACGAAGCCGGGTCTTCATGCCGTAGGCCTGCTGCAGTCGGCGTGAAGGTTGCCTCAGGGGCGCGAGGGGTCTGAAGACTTCGTGTGGAACTACACCTGGAGGGGGAAGACTGCCCTGGCGGGGGGGGGGGGGGGGTGTACAACAAGAGGGGGGGGGGCAAGAGCTACAGAAGGCGAGTCCTTAGAGCGTTTACTAAATTCTTTCTCCAGAGCCTTATGACGCTGCAAGGCATCCCTTTGGGAGGCACTGGAGGAATCCTTGTCCCTTGTGCGTAAGTAGTGGGTTTTGGATTTGGCCTTTAAGGAAGGCCCACTAGGATTGCCCTCTGCCATACCAAGAAATTAGGGGAGGCGATTGGTGCGCCTAGGAGTTCGGCCTATTGCTCAAGCCGGTTTTCCTAAAGTTGGGTCACGTCCCCCTTTTGGAAGGAAAAAAGGGAATTTCCCTTAATTATCTATCTGCTAATAATAGTCAAAAAATTTTTTTGAAGGAAAGGCCTTGCCAAAAGGCTAATCTAAGAAAAGAAAAAAATTTGTTTTATTTTTAATTTTTAATTTCTGATTTTTTATTTTTTATTATTTTTTGTTATTATTTTTTTTATTTTATTTTTTTATTTTTTTTTAAGGGTGGGCGGAGCCCAAGGTAGTTAAATATGAAATGAAACCTAATAAAAGACTAACTAAATATTAAACTGTATAAGAGAAGCCAAATGCAACGCTGAGGCCAGTGAAAAAAATTAATCCTTCTATATACAAAAAGAAATATCACTTTGCACAAACGAAAAAGAGGTGGGTGAGGAAGGCCTCCAAAGGCAGCCTCCCAGCGAACTTGGAAGGTACCTGCCTGGGTCTCTGAGCGAGTTGCGGGCAATCACAGAACAACACCAACTGAGGCAAAAGAAAGTCAAGGGAGAATAACTGGGCACGAAGCCACGGTATTCTCGGCAAATTCAGAGTCCACGCGGCCTATTAATCACGCTGAGGACCAACAGTCAACCACGCAACTTCGAAGCTCACCAAAATGGCGCCGACCACGAGGCGCGCCTAAAATGGCCGCCCGCAATGGCGCTAATAGCCCAAAGACACACCAGCCCTTAAACTTAAAAAGGAATGAAATTCAGAAGGGCTGGGAGAAGAAGCGGAGCTTCCTCTGATTGCGTTAGTGGGGAGAAGATGCAACGATCGGAAAGATAAAGACGGAAAAAAGCGGCTGGCTCCAAGGAGCGCAGTTTGGGAACAGGCAGAGAAGAAGGAGGGGGGGGGCAAAGCTCCAACTCCCCCTACCTCTCCCCTGAGGGCGAGAAATCTCGCTAAGGCAACAATTTGGAACCACACAGTCAACGCAAGGAACAAGGATTTAAGAGAAAAAGACAAACCTGATGGCAATTAAGATTAGGAACCTGAAACGGCCAAGGAACAAAATTAGCTGCCTGTCTCGTCGAAGGCTGAGCTAAAACTGGGGGAACGCAAGGAGGAGTCACGTGGCGGAGGAGGGCGTTCCCTCAATTATAGCTCAGCCTGTACGACATGAGACTGGAGCACCTCCCCCACTCTCTGGATGCTCGCAGCAGTTCCACAGAGAATGATGTGATGGTCCTGTATGGTCTCTTGTTGATGGTGTATCACTGAACCATCATTCTATGCCATGGCTGTTTATACAATATATTTAACTACAGTATGGTTAACTAAACTACATCGTTGTAATTGATTTAATTTTCCCAGTTTTTTGGGATGGGCATGAGAGACCAAAACACAAACTAACTTTATTGTCTGGGTGATGTGCAAAGTTAAAATTGTAGATGGCTACTTAGGAATTTAGTGTGCCATGAATTCCGCTCATCTGCAATTGAGGTGGTCCTTCCAGTAACTTTATTCCCAGAAAGCTAAATCTACCGTTGACAACACTATTATTTTTTCCATAATTTACTTTGCCTTTCACTCTTTTATACTTTTTCTGTACAGAAGATAGAAGGTGGGGCATTCTTACATCAATGAACTTGCGCAAGGTAACATCAATTTGGCTCAGAATTTTGGGCGATTCATAGACAAAATCTTTAATGGCATCCAGGTGGTTGAAAGTGATGAGCAGAAGGTCCCTGGGTCGAGGGCAGAGAAGAACTTGGTACTTGAAAGCCATAGTCATCAGATCATAAAGCTACAGAATAGGCAAGAGATGCCAGTTAGTCACAGAGGCCGGGTCAGGATTTATAAAGTTACTTATACTTTGTTAGAACACGATAACTGATTTAATACAGCTAGCAGGATTTTACTTGAAGAATACCAATAATCCTGTCTAGCTTTCAGTTCAATTATTGTTAAAATGCAGGAAATACACTTTGCATTCATGCCCAGGACTTAGCCAAAATATATTGCACATTATTTACTTAAATGCATATGGTGATGGATAGAATTAAAAATGTTAAGATATACAGATAGTCCTTAAGTAAAGGACTATCTGTATATCTTAACAGTTCATTTAGTGACTGTTCAAAGTTACGACGACACTGAAAAATGTGCATTACTATTTTTCATACGACCATTGCAGCATCCCCATGATTACATGATCAATATTCGGACGCTTGGCAACTGGCATGAATTAAAGACAGCTGCAGTGTCCCAGGATCCTGAAATCCCCTTTTGAGACCTTCTGACACAGCAAGTCAATGGGGAAACCAGATTCACTTAACAACTGCAGCAATTCACTTAACAATTGTTGTAAGAAAGATTGTTAAAAGAGGCAAACTCTACTTAACAACTGTCTTGCTTGGCAATATTAAATTTGGGGCTCAATTGTAGTCATAAGCAGAGGACTTCCTATAGTAAACAGAAGCAACAGCAAAAAAGAAGTATGAAATTAATGGAAAGCCCTCAGTTGATAAAGCAAATGATCTGAAATATCTCAGTAGCAAACTTACTAGACATTATCACATCTGCATTCAGATATGTACTTAAACTTAGATCTTAAATGTGTAGGCATATTATATATAATATAAATAGGTAAGTATTTACTTAACCACATATAGTTTCTTGAAAAAGATTACCAGTAGTTTATTGAAGATATACATGTAAATACATTAATTCAGATGCTTTCCCTTAGCAAAGAACATCTTAGTAGCTATTTTGTTCAATAACACTGTTGAAGAAAAGTGATATGAACGGAAATCAGCCAAATGCAAACTGAACATATGAACGAATGAAGCTGAAGCTGAGAAATCAGACTGCCGTTTTGGAAGGCTGATAAGTATGAACTCTGGGATGGAAAAGACCAGGCGGGACATGTTTCAAGGGCTAAGTCACTTGTTGGTTAAGAAAGCAGAAAAAGACATGTGGAGGTGCAGAGTGACATTTCATAAGAGTACATAATGCCATATTTTGTCCTTGGCTGTAAAGTCAGTAGGCATGATGTAATTAAATACATGCACTGAAAATCAGTATTTCAGATCATTTCTCCCCTTCCATGTGCATCTATGTTTCAAATTGTGTGAACTTAATAATGGCTTTTCTTGATTAAAAAGGGTTACCCAGTTTCATAAGAAGACATAGAGAGAAAAAGAAAGGTTTGACCTCACCTTATCCATACTGGGGGCATTCAGTCTCATGATGGAGGCGTGAACCAACCGCTCAAAAACTGCTCTTAGGGCTTTCCTGGAATAGAGTTCTTGCGGCTTAAACAGCTCATCCATAAAAATTTTATTGAAGATGCCCCCAATGATGTCATTCATCACTGAAAAGATAAAATAATCACAGAAATCCATTGTTTTAGTTTTCCCAGGACGAAGTAGGCATTTTGCAATTGAGAAGACAACGTGCTACTGAGGTTGCTTTTTCACTTGAACTTCCTTGCCCCCCAGGTCATTCCTGTGCATAGCAATGCTCTCTTCTGAATATCCCTCCACTGAAAAAGAGGCATGCAGAAGATTATTTCCTGATTTCTTGCCGGGGATTTCATTATAGCAATGCAGAAATTGGAAATCATTTTCTTATATTTGGAACGGAGATGCTCAAAACTGCTCCACCTACACCAGGTAATTCCTTCTTCCAACAAGATGGAAAGGAAATGTTTGCAAAATCCAAGAGGCATATTTCTCAATTTCAGCAGTTATAATTTGCGACATTACTTTTTGCACTTCCAAACTGCTTCAGTTCTGCTTCTTGCAGTCATGACAAAAATATTTTTAAATATGATGTAATTTATTGTGAAAAATAATTATATCTCAGTTTTAAAATTCTACTATTAGTTGGGCTAATCTTCTCGGTCATTAACTACTAGAGCAGGGGTGTCAAACTCGATTTCATTGAAGGCCACATCAGGGTTGTGCTTGACCTCCAGCGGCCGGGGTGGGCGTGGCCAGCTTGACGTCACTCACATTGGGGGTGCCTGTGGTGGTCCGAGCACTCTGCCAGAGAAAACGGGCTCCCAAGCACCGTTTTTTTACTGCGATGGTTTCCTGCTGCCTTCTGCCAGCGAAAACGGAGCTGGGGGGGGGCACATGCCCCCCCCCACTCCATTTTTACTGGCAGAGTGTGGAGCGCTTGCTAGCAGAGTGCTCGGGCCACCACAGGCGCCCTGGCACGAGTGATGTCAATCTGGCCACGCCCACCCTGGCCCCTGAGATGAAACATAACCCTGATGCGGCCCTCAATGAAATCGAGTTTGACGCCCCTGTGCTAGAGGATCCCTTTTTCTTATGAGGATCACATTTTAGGCATAGGAGTTTAATTATCAATATTTAGGTACCCTCCTTGCCAGGAGAAAATTCACAGTAACATTCAGTACTATTAAACATTAAATTGATTTATTGATTTAGTTAGTATCTTGCCCATCTCAGTTTGAGGCAACTCTGGATGGAGTTGTTTTTCGTCCACTCTAAGATCCATAATTTGGATCTCCTGGCTTTGAGGAACTCTCTCCTCCATGAATTACAAGATGTTAATAACCTTGAGCCTGAAGCAACTCAGCCTTTCTAACTGTGACTGTGTATGAGAGGATCAGACACCAAACAGGTAGGAAACTTATCCAAATATTAGCACTGTATCATCAGGCCTCAGATCAGATTCAAATTAATTACAGGAAGAGCTGGCTGTCCTTGAGGTAGATGAAGACACTGTTAAGTATTATCCATTTTCTCTTTCCATGGTGGAGGAAATCAAAAATTGAATTTCTTCAGTTCTCCACTGTCAGAATCAATTGTGACCCCACAACACACTTAACTAGGCCTGTTGCATTGTATTGGCTGCACTTGCAGACTTACTTTTAAATTGAGGTGGGTTTTGGGGGGAGCTTCATGTGCATATACTGTAACTTCACTCACATGTTGAGTGAATTGTGCAAAACCAGAAAATGGGTTTTGAACATTCCCCAAAATGCCTTTTCTATCTGCCACTTTTATTTTTTCCCTACTCATTCAGCCTAGCATTTAACTGATGTTGCTAATCACAGAATCTCCAGAGGCACAATTCTGGAGCACAATTCCCTCTGGACAAACTCCGAAACAAAATATCCGTATTAAAGCCGTCATTACTCTTTCTGAAAAGATGTAACAAGTCTTGCTTGTGTGCTGATTAGACTCCAAGTCCAGAAACCTCTTAGCCATTCAATACTGATCCAATGGAAGAGCCTTTTGCATTGTGCTACCCGCACACACAAGCCCTATTCAGAGGGTAGTGGGGAGGTGCTTAATGCCTCATTTTTAACTGGGGATTCCTGAACTGTTCCAAGATCTATAGCAGAAGCCTGCTGCAATTTGCATTGGGGTGCCCCGAGACTGAATGCATCAAGGGAACAATTAAAAGAAAGGAATGCTCTGCAGCCACTGTATGGTACATTTACAATTTGGAACAGAGTTCTTTTTAGAAACCTGTTGCTCAAATCTATGCAAGTTAAGCAGGTTTCCCCCCCTAAATAAATGATTATCCCCTACTCCTTGTTTACCTGCAAGACTATGGTACAGGATAGGTAAGTGGATCAAAGGTAGCACACTGGGGTAATAATTGTGGCTGTCACTGGTGCCCCACTACAAATTGCAATGATGCCAAATGCCACCATTATATATACATGTGTTCCAAACATCGGATGCCATACCTAAGAGGCAGACAGGCATTTGCATGATAATGCCACACATGTACTGTTACTTACTCCCCACACACTTATCATTGCAGTCTGCTTTGCATCACTATCTATTAAATTGATTACACAAATAAAAATTTTTATGGCAGTATGAATAAATGTGGTACAGTCATATGAATGGTACTGAAAACATCTTCAAACAATAAATTTTTGGATAGAGCAGATTTCCCCATCCTGGTGTCTTTCCAGATGCCTTAGAGTTGAAACTTCATCACCCCCAACCTTGACCAAGATCTCTGAGGATGATGGAAAGTGAACCTATACATCTGGAGGGCACGAATTTGTGAAGAGCTGGATTACAAGTAGCAGATTAAGGCAGTTATCTGAAAGAATTGGTGCCCTGGTTACTAATTTTACAGCAGAAGCAACTGATAGTAGGAGGACCAAACTGGACCAAATTGGTTTGCATATGAATAATTAGACATTATTCACGGAACCCAGAGTGTTTCATAGCATTCTAGAGCTGGAAGCCAACCTTGAGGCCACATGTGCTTTACACAGGGCTACATTTGAAAGCAATGTGGAGGCTAAAACTGGCACATAATGCAGTGACTCCATCATGCCTGTATGCCAGACTTGCTATTGCACAGACTCAGAATGAAAGGAGTTGGAAGGGAGCTTGGAGATCATCTAGTCCAACTCTTTTGCCTCTGCAAGAGTCCATAACATCAACATTCCTGACTGATGGTCATTCAGTCTGTGTAAATGCCTTTAGCAAAGGAGAGCAATAGCAATAGGACTTAGACTTATACACCCCTTCAGAGTACTTCACAGTGGTTTACTGAGTCAGCTTATTGCCCCCAACAATCTGGGTCCTCATTTTACCCACCTTAGGATGGAAGGATGGAAGGCTAAGTCAACCTTGAGCCTAGTGAGATTTGATCTGCCAAATTGCAGGCAGCTGGCAGTCAGCAGAAGTAGCCTGCAGTACTGCACTCTAAACACTGCACCACCATGGCTCCTGAGCCTACCATTCTCTATGGCAGTGTTTCTTAAACATTTACATATGTAAACATTTACATATATTACATATATTTATTGACATTACTGTATTAAAAATGTAAATTGATGCATTCCTTGTCACTACCACTTCTCATCTTCATTTGATAGGATATTAATACTGTGTTGCTCTTCAACATAGGCTGGCAAATAAATTAGATTTTGTGGATCCAAGAGGTGTACTAGAGCCACACTTTAAGAAACACTGCTGATGGAGTCTTGATCTATTGTTGAACAGCTCTTACCAATACATTTTTTCCTAACATCTATTCAGAATTGATTTCCTTGCTATTAAAACTTGTTTCTTGTACTGTTTCCTGAAATAGTTCTGAATAATTCTGCCCTGCCTTCTACATGATAGCCTTTCAGATATCCCAATATCCAAACATTCCTTGTGAGATTTTCTTTGCATCATTACTATATTGATTGCATTCCTATGAACAAACTCCAGTTTATCAATGTCCTTCCTAAAACACAATACACAGGGGTGGGATACAATATTCTAGATGCAGTCTGGCCAATGTAAAACAGACAATTTGTTTTATTGATCTTAAGAACCTGTAATTCTGTTGGTCACACACCCTCCTGATTTCTGATATTATCCTCTAAAAGACAATGTTTCTCAACCTAGGCAACTTAAAGGAGGGTGGACTTCAATTCCCAGAATCCCTCAGCCAGCAATATGGCGGGGGGATTTGGGAATTAAAGTCCACTCATCTTCAAGTTGCCCAGGTTGACAAATACTGCTGGAATATAATAGGAATAGAAATAGGAATAGAATAGAATATTTTATTGGTCAAGTGTGATTGGACATACAAGGAATTTGTCTCTGGTGAATAAGCTCTCAGTATACATATGAGCAACAAGTGATAAATCATAATCATAATAAAATACATTCATCATAAATCATATGATAAATCATATGAAATCATATGACTTAACGATAGTCATAGGATACTAAATAAGCAATCAACATAAATCATACCAGGATACTAAATAAAACAATTAATATAAATCATAAGATACAAGCAACAAAGTTGTAGTCATAAGAAGATAGGAAAGATGAGAAGGATAATAGTAATACAGTCGTACTAGTTTGACAGTGTTGTGGGGATTAGTTGTTTAGCAGAGTGATGGCATGGGGAAAAACTGTCCTTGTGTTTATTGTTTTGGCATGCAACACCCTATAGTGTCGTCTTGAGAGAAGAAGTGGAAACACTTTCTGTCCAGGATGTGAGGGGTCTAGAGATATTTTCATAGCCCCCTTTCTGGCTAAAGGTTTACTAGTTCCTCATCTGTTCTATTTCGTCACCATTGAACAACATGATGCAGACTTACTTAAAATGCATCAAAGCATACCTTTTGGGCAGGATAACCCTTTTTTCTAGTTATTCCAAGCCCAACTCAAAGTGCTGGTTATTATTTATAAAGACATTGATAGTAGAGTAACAAGCTACGTCAAATACTACTTTGTGCCACGTTATTCTGATTCTCATATTGGGTCATGAATGATCTATGGGGGCCCTGTTCAAGGTTTCATCATCTTGGGAGAAAAGGGTAATTAGATGAGAAGGCAGCCTTTCTTTGTGGCCAATCCGCATGCTTTGGTATTTCTTTCCAGTACAGACATTGTACAAGACTGTGAAAACAAATTTCCCCTGTAGACCTTTGGAGCTTAACGGTGACTGGGTTTGCTACTGTTTCTTCCTTTATATATTTTATCTATTGGGAGGAATAAAGTGTGTGATGAGCATGGCTATGATGTTTCATTATGCAGGCTTTTTTAGTTTTGTACTTTTTTAAATTTGGTGATATCAGTTAAATGTTTGAAAGAATTAACTGCCAACCTTATCATAATGAAAGTGTAAGATGACAGAGGGGATATTATAGACATGATTGGGTTTACTTCATTATCATTCCATATTGATTTAAAATCCATAAATTTGTTCATATGGCGGGAGAAAGATATAAACATGATTCTGAATTATGTACCAAAATGCAGAATCTATCAATGTTTTGAAAACAATGGAACTACAGAATGAAACATATCAAAAATAATACTTTTATAATGGAAAGACAATGCCATTGTAGATTGATGGATTCTAGATTCACTGTTTACAAATTGTTTCCTTTTCAATGCAATGGAAAGGGAAATGCTGTGTTTAAATGGGTTTTTGTTTCACTGTATTTTTTATGTTTTTCTGTATATTTCTTCTTTATTTCTATTAAAGCAAATAAATAGAACAAAACAAGCAGATCTTCGAATTTCAAATATCATCTTATTTCTGTCAGTCTATAGCCAAATCAGAGCAGGGAATTTCACTGGCTAAAAAAATTTGATTAAATTTAACCTTGATCAAGTATTGTCAAATAATGTGTAGACATTTATAAAGCATTATCTTGAGTGCAAGACATCTACAGATTGCTTATTGCCAAAAAGTATATTAAATGCTACTATGAGAATAGGCAGTATTTTTTTAAAAAAATGGTTATTAATTTAAAATACATTTTCACTCCTGGAATTTTCTTTCCTTTTCCTGGGACATGAATGCATATTATCACCATCCAAATTTATCCTTGAAAAATGTTTCCCAATGAGTTCCCTGGCTGCATGAGGATTTGAACTTAGCCTTACAAATCTCAGATTTCTCCTATATTGGCTTTTCCAGGCATGTTTGACTATAACTGGCACCATCTCCAGACTTTGGCTATGTTGCAAGGAATAGGAGTTGCACTTTATGCTAGCTTCCAGACTGAAGGAGACTGCTTGATGCATGCTTTTTCTTCCTATTGCTTTTGCAGCCTATTATGAAAGGTAGCCACTTTTGTAGTTATACTTATTTGGACCTGTTATTCTTCCTAAGAGCAAACAGCCCTTCACTTCTTCCCTTGCTGGAACCATAATTAGCGCTAGGAAATAATTTTCAAAAGGACAGGAGCCATCTTCCGTGGGTAACCAACAAAAAATCTTGTAAGATGTCAATAACTGAAATACAGAATTTGGTATACGTGTTCCTGAGTAATCTGCATTATCAGACATGAATAAATTAAAAAGCGAAGCTGGAAGCAGCACAATTGGCATTTTTAAGATGTTTTACAATCGGTCAATTTGTCTCATCTAATGACAATATTTAACCTGCAATTGATCTACACCTTACCTCAAGGTGTATTTGAATTAACAAATTGGCCTGTTCAACAATGATTCCAATAATTTTTCTATTTTATTTATTTATTTGATTTCTATAGTTGCTCATCTCAACAAGTTTTTGAGCCCAATATGTTGATGGATTTGCCTTATAACACATAAAAGAGACCATACACTTCCACAACTTGAACACAACAAAGTTTTGTAATTGAGTAACTGCTCTGAAGAGATTTTCTGCAGCATCCTTCAACATACTGCATATACATAGTTTGGAAGCTCAGTGCAGGTCTAAAAATGTTACAGTACCTCGTCTCCTGTCCACATCAGTCCATTCATCTACACGAAGCATAAAACAGAAAAAATGGCGGGTCAAGTACTAAGAATACACTGAGAACAACGTGGAAAAGAGAAAAGAATTGAAGAGCAATGTACATTTTTTTACTCTTTCACTTAAGATGTTGGACAGCCGAAAACAACTATTGGGGATATTTAAAGTGGCAGTGATATAGGCATTACGAAATGGGATGGTATCCCTTTTCAAGCCCATTTCACACTCTGGAGAAGAATTGCATTTTCCCAGCGTTAAAAATTCTTGAAAATGAAGGAACAGCTCAGCAGCAGCTCAACTTTTATGGTGTCCCACTACAAACGTAAAAAAAAATATTCACAGAGAACCAAGCTGGGCTGAGATATCCTCAGATCCACAGGGATGAGCTATTGTTTTAGAGCAGGGGTGCCAAACTGGCAGCCCATGGGCAGGATGCAATGTAACAAGTGCAGGTCACACCCACCCCAGCTGTGTGAATGGGGAATCATGGAATGTCATCTGACACCAACACGACCCAGTGAGTTTGACACCTGTGTTTTAGAACAATTCTATGTTTCTCAATCAGAAGAATCTGCAGAACCAGATTGTTTGATTTCACGCAAAGAGCTAGAAAAATGAAGCATAACCTGGCCAAACAACCAAACATTATTATTGTTATTTTTCAGTCTCTCCATTTCCCATAGTTTTGTTTTCAGAACAAGTACAGATGCAAAGAAACAACAGTTTGTACAGCAGTAAATAAACAAAGCTAAACTAAGCTCAGGTGTTTTTTGGATCCAGAGGTCCTGAATGGCTGGAAACACATCAAAGAGAGGAGCAACCTGGGATTAAGGAGCAACTTCCTCACAGTGGAGCAGCTTCCCTCCAGAAGCCTCGCAGGGCTCCATCACGGGAGGCTTTTAAGGAGCAGCCACTTATCTAAAATGGTCTATAGGATCAGGGGATGGACTACCAGAGGACCTCCAAGGTCCCTTCCATCTCATTCTATTCTAAATTTCAACCGTGTGTGTGTGTGTGTGTGTGTGTGTGTGTGTGTGTGTGTAGGTCTTCCTTCTAGAGACACATTCATGCGCATGGGAGCCGATTTAGTCTCGTCTTGGGGCTTGGTTTCTCGAGTTCACCCCCACGCCCCAGCGGTCCATTTCTGACACACACGCCCTGGAGCGAGCCCTGGATGCTCTTGTCCCGGAGACGAAGCGGCCCAGGAAGCAGGAGCCTCCTCCTCCTCAGCCCCCGGGAGGCCGTTCAAGGGAAGCGCTGCCGCCTCCAGAGACCAGGCAGGCAACCCCGCTGGGCCTCCCTAGGAGGGATTCTCCCGGCTCCCCCCCCCCCCCCCCCGCTCCGATTCCAACCGGGTCCAGGAACAAAGGTCGGCTATCTACGGCCTCTCCAACAGGCGTCGCCGCCAAGAACAAACGCGGCCGGTTTCCACGTTCACTGCACGCTTTATTGCTGCGAAGGAATCAGCTTCGCTCTGGGGGTCAACGTCGGGGGTCGGGGGGACCGGCAGAAGCGACCCGTCGGCCTTCCTCCGAGGCGCTGCGTCTGGGCGGACCCGAGGATCCCACCCTCCCCCGCGACCGGGGCGGGGGAGGCGGCGGGGCCTGCGCTCTCGGGGCCCTTCACGGCGGCCTCGGCTCCCCCTCCCGGCAGCCCCCTGACCTTGGCGCGCCTTGTCTCCCGGGATGCTCTGTGCGCGCAGTCGCTGGTCCACGATGTACAGCATCTCCCCGCCCAGGTTGAGGACGAGCAGCGGCAGCGTCCGCAGCGACATGGCGGGGAGGCCGAAAGAAGCTCCTGCCGGCGTCCTTAGGCGGCGAGAGGGGCGTCGCGCGTCGCCAAGGCAACGGGAGGCGGCTTCCGGTCGCGAGGGGGGGCAATTTGCAGAGGCGCGTGTTCTTCCGGGCTGGGCTGGCGGGCCTGAGAGAGAGACAAACGAGGGAAGCGGAAGGGGAGGAGTTAACGAAGGCCAATCGGCTAAGCGGGGTGTGTGTGGAGCCAATTTCCGCCTCACCAGCTCCCGGCCGGGGAAATGGCGCTTGCGTCTCGCAAGAGCCGTTCATTTGAGACACACCCCGCTCAGTCCCCTGGGAGAATGACCTCCAGCCATGGATCCCGCCGCTCCTTTTGTAGTACAGGTAGTCTTTGACTTACAACCACTCACTTAGTGACCACTCCAACTTACAACGGCAGGAGAAAAGGTGACGTCACCGTTTCACACGGCGGTTGCAGCGGTCACGCGATCAAAATCTGGCTGCTGGGCAGCTGACTCGCCTTTAAGAGAATAACCGAGCTGGAAGGGACCTTGGGGGTCTTTTGACTAGTCCAAGCCCAGGAAACTCCACACCATTCCAGACAAACGGCTTCCCAGCCGCTTTTAAAAACTTCCAGTGCTGGAGCCCCCACAACTTCTGGAGGCAAGTCGTTCCACTGGCTTATTGTTCTGTCAGGAAATTTCTCTTTGGTCCCAGGTTGCTTCTCCCCCGACCAATTTCCACCCCTCCTTGTCCTGCCCTCAGTTGCTTTGGAGAAGATCTTGACTGCCTCTTCTTTGGGGCAGCCCCTGTGAGATATTGGAACACTGCTATCATGTCACCCCAGTCCTTCTTTTCATCAAACTAGAGTGCATTACAAATAGTCAAGATGGGAGGTAACATCCAGTTCCTGCAACTTCATCTTTTAGCCTTCAGTCCCCAATCATCTTTGTTTCTGTTCTCTGCACTCTTTTCTAAAGTCCAATGTGTTTTATATCATGGCGATCAAAACTGGATTCCAAGTGTGCTCATTATAAAGTGTATTAACACTTCACCTTATCTTGATTCTGTCTCTTTATTAATGCAGCCATGTAGGGTTTTTAAGGTTGACAACCAGCACCTTGAATTGGACCCAGAAGCAAATTGGCAGCCAATGCCGCTCCTCCAGGAGAGGTCACTTATGAGCATACTTGGGCCTGCACAAAACTATGCGGGCTGGAGCATTCTGGACCAATTGGAGCATCTGGATACTTTTCAAGGGCAGCCCCATGTAGAGTGCATTACAAATAGTCAAGATGGGAGGTAACTAGAGTGCTAAGGAACGTCAAAACTGTTCCTGTTAAAACATTCCTCCTTAAGCTCGTATTCTCTTGATGAATTCTAGGAATTCATGATTTTGGAGTTCCAATACATCTGGGGAAAACTCCACTAACTCCTCGTGATAAAAGCAAACACAATTTTACCTCAACCTAAGCATTTCTCCTTTTTTAATATACCTGACTGATCGCCTGGCAGGTTTACTAACTAATGTCATGCAAGGATTAATGGTGCCTGTCCCACTTTAATAAAAATCTATGATCCAAATAGGCTGCTGGTGTTGTTGCTTGCAGGCATGCCTTTTTTCCCTTTTTGTTCTTCCCCATAAGCAGAGAGTTGCTGACCTTGCTGGGTTTTGTGTAGGACTACCAGGATTGTGCTGGGCAGGTGAGTCACAAAAAGAGGTGGCAAAACTTGTTTCTGGGAAAAACCAAGGAGAACAAAAGCTGTAGGTAGCAGGAAAGCTGGAAGGGAGGAACCCTGGGGGAAGGAGCCACCTTTCCGACCTTCTGGCAAGCCAACACAACTGAGAAGACAGGTTCACTTTATAAGCAAGTGACTCACTTAACAACTGTGGAAGGAAGATTGTAAAATGGGACATAGCACATTTTACAGTTGTCTTGCTTAGCAACAGAAATTTTGGGCTCAGTTGTGGTTGTAAGTCAAGGACTACTGGTACGTTTGAGGAAGATCAACTCTACTTTCCTGGCTACCTTCAGGAAAGGTAGCTTGAGCCTGCCCCCAGCTGAGCCCCATTTCCCAGATGAAAGCATTGCTGGAGTGGAGGGTCCCCCATGGCTGAAAGCGAAACCCCCCCCCCCACTTCATAATGGCACCTTCTGATCCTGACCCACCTTTGTGTCCTCCTTTGCTCTTTAAGATCGAGAGCGAGTGTGCACTTCCCGAGCCATTCGACAAATCTCACACCAGCCACAGAGGCACATCGACAGCGTATCCCCCAAAACTGTGCCCTGCAATGCTCAAGCCAAGGAGAGAGTGTCAAGTTTGCATGCTTGGACTTTGCTCACACTAGAAGCTGCATGAGCCGGCCTGATGCTGCCTAAGTTTTGGTAGGAGATGAAACAGGAAGTCCCCTCCCAGCCCCTCAAGAATGACTGACTGTGGTTTAGACAGCAATTTTTCTGATGTTTTCCCAGAAAACTTCCCTGGCACCTTCGGAGGCCAAGGTGGGCTGCTATGCTATGCAGACCACAGGCATCTGAGCAGGGACTGACCAGGCCCATTTATGCAGACTAGCTAGTACACGTAAGAATTAAATTTAGGGGCTAAAGTTACTTCGGAAGATCCAGCATAAATTTAGCCCTGTTTCTTCTACAATGCCCTGCTTAAAATACCTGAAGAATTACAGATAGTCCATTAACTATTTTTTTCAGTTGGAGACAGAAAAAGAAATTTGGGAAAGCTTGATTAAATACCTCCCCAAATTTCACATATTCCAGCAGTAGTAGTTATTTTCACTTAGGATGAGAATGATAGGAGTACTATACAACATAGTAAAATGTGATTTTAGGGAAACATCACTTTAAGGAATTAGTTACTACTTCTCCCCTGTGTGTGCTAGACAGAAAAAAGGCACTATTTTAATCCCCGCTATTTTGGAGCAGTGCAAAATACTTGTAGCTTCAACTACAGCCGTTGGGGGGGGGGGGGTCAACAGGTGCTAGATGAATGTGCTACAAATGCACTAATTAAAGATTAGCTAAATATTGGATTTGTCTTCTTATACTTCGCAATAGATCTTGGAAAATGAGTATTAAAAAAAGGACAAGCAGAAGTACTGTCCTCCATGCATGACCACTTAGATGTGAAGCTGCTGTATTTGCTTCTTTCACCATATCACGTCTCTAATAGGGCACAATATTTCTTAATACCAAGGCCGTATGGATTGACTGCCTGGATGAGATAAAACATGCATGATGTCCTTTATTAAAAATGCAGTTATTTGTAGTGTTACAAAGTTGAGATAAATTATTTCTGCTTTCTTTTGCAGTGGAAACAACTTAATTCCAGGATTCAAGCAAACTCTGCAGTTTGTGCTTAGTTTTCATAGTAGGGGTATTGTAATTTATTTCACTGACAAGTTGCCTCATAGAATTCTTGTGAAACTTCAATAACTCTTGCCAACAAGATTGGCTGAATTCACCCACTGCACTAAAACTGCAAATTTTTAAATACAAATGGAAGCGTTCATGGTAGATAATGAAGGCGAACAAAGTCACACTATGAGGAATACCATAATTATAATATAAAATAATAAAAGGACAATAAATAAATTCACCCTCTCCTTTTTCATTTTGTGTCCACCAGAGGCATTTTAGCAGTCCCAGAGATGAAGGGGGGCAATCAAGACAAGCACTACTCTGCAGCACAGTGCTTGGTGTAAGAACAAGTGCTGCAATAAACTTTGACAATAAAACTTTTTTAAAATATAAATTGCATCTCCCCTACCCCCAGTATCCTCTGTTCTACTTTTCAGAGAAAGATCATCTCATAGGTGAAATCTTAGCACATTACCGGGATGCCATAGGAGAGCCGCATGTGTGTGCGGAGTGCAGTCATGCCACCAGGCACCATTCCCAAGCAACAGTGTTCCCCATATTTGCGTGTCACGTAGCAGCTCAGAATCAATGGGCAGCAAACTCCAACACAACCTGCCAAGCAATATAAACACATACATGCAAGCAAAGATCAATAGAAGTAGAAAAATGCTGTCCTCCGTAGCCCAGACTTGTAATCCTTGCCACTATGACCTCACTTAGCCAATCCTTGGTGGATAAGAGAGTGGCTGATGATTGTGTTCTGTGACAAACTATGATCACCAGTGATCCTGCCAGCTGAAAAGCAGACATTTTCTAAGCGTTTCCAGATTTGAGTGCAAGTTGTCATATCCTGTTTCTTTTTGCTCTTGCAGACAAAAAGAAATCACAATACAATAAAAACTACTGGATTAGATGACGGAAAAATGGTGTGGGGGGGGCAGTTTTGCACCTTTTTCACATACCTCTATGTAGCCCTGGAGGGTAAAAGCCCTGTTTTGGCAGGGCTGCCCTAGAACAAGGGTCTCCAAACTTGGCAACTTTAAGACATGGACTTGTGCACATTCTGGAGAGAGAGGGAAGTTTCCTGAGGATGGACAAGCCCAAAAACTTGGAAGAATAAAACTTTGGTCCTGATGACCGATTCAGATTGGATCCTGTAACATTATCCTGGGACACATTTATTGGCTTTCATTCCCAAAATACTTTTTAAGACAAGGTGGTTAACTTTCAACATAATAAAGTTGGCAGTTAATCCCCTTCAAACATCTCTGAGATTGTTCAGCTGTCCAAGAAAGAGAATTGAGCTGGTGTCTTGACATTTAAAACTAAAATATTGTTTAAAGTGCCACTAGTTGAAAAATTTACCCAATATCTAACAAAATCCTGACCTCAAAAGCCAGATTCCTACACAATTTCTTCTATTTCCAAGAAACCTTAAAAGAGAATCCTATAGCTGCAGTTGTTGACATAACAACAGTACAACCTCACGAATGAAGACAAAATGAATGACGGCCAGAAGCACCTTCTTTGAGAGCAAACCCCATTCCTTAACTAGCACTGATGATGTTACCTAGTTTGGGTAATGGAACATCTGCATAAAAACAACCAAGCTCAGAGAGTACCAAGTGCCTCTCCCACCTTCTCCAGTGGTGTCCTCCAATTAGAGGTTTTGCTTCCTTAATCACCTTGGCCATCCTGGCTGAGCAGGATGGGATTTAGTATCAACCTATGTTGAAAGCACCAGGTTGGGAAGTCCACAAACTGGA